TACTTTATATATCTACTGAATTATTTATCTCCTGCCTTTGTTTTTGTTTTTTTACAAACAAATCAAGCGGGTGATGAACGTATCTAATCCACCTTCCTCCTCCTATTCTCTTTCTCCCACCTCTGGCCAAACTGACAACTCCCCCCCCCCTCAAAACCCCTCCGGCACCTCCAGGCTTCTGCCAGCTGCCTCCGGACCGTCAGAAATGCAGCCAGGACTCCTCCCTGCGGGTCTTCTACAACGACCAGGCGGGCGTGTGTGAAAGGTTCGTCCATCAAGGCTGCGAAGGCAACGGAAACAACTTCGCAACACAGCTGGAGTGCCTGCAGGCCTGTGCCAGCCGGGGTGAGCAACCGGGGGGCAGGGGGGGGGAGGCTGAGCTGGGTGGGGTTGGGGCTCCTGGGTCATTCAACAGCCTCTTCTTGGCCAATTCTAAGATGTTAATGCAAGCTACATATTTTGAGAGATAGTCTACTATTCTGGTATTTTCACCCTTTGCTGAATCAATGCCTGAATCTATGAGCCAAGGTGGCGCAGTGGGTTAAATGCAGCACTGCAGGCCACTTCAGCTGACTGCAGTTCTGCAGTTCGGCTGTTCAAATCTCACCGGCTCAAGGTTGACTCAGCCTTCCATCCTTCCGAGGTGGGTGAAATGAGGACCCGGATTGCTGTTGGGGACGATATGCTGACTCTGTAAACCGCTTAGAGAGGGCTGAAAGCCCTATGAAGCCGTATATAAGTCTAACTGCTATTGCTATTGCTATTGCTATCATGCTCCTGTCGTGTGGGGAGGCGGGTCACTCCAAAGGCCACTTTTATTGCCAGCAACACCTGCAGGGAGGGGAAGCTCAGAGCTCCATGTCTCCCCTCCTCCAGGGCCCCTCTTTGTCCCACTCAAGAAGGCTCCTCTCAGACGGGGGGGCCTTTGCGTTTCTGTCCCACCCCCACACACAGACACATCCAAGGCTAAAGCTTTGCCAGTTCCCTCCAGTGGGCATCTGCAGGGCGCTTGCCAACCCTCCCAGCTATGGCATCCCCTGGGCAGCTTGGAGCCAGCGCCCGTCTGCGGGAGGCTGTTTGAAACCTCTGTCGTTAAGGCTCTCTTAACTCCTTGCAGCGAGAACGAGGCCCTGTGGCGGGAGGTGGCCACTTTGCGTCAGAAGCACACGCAGCAACAGAAGGTCGTCAATAAGGTGAGCGGCCCAACTCAAGAGTCCCCCCCCCTTACCCCTGGAGGGCCCTGCTGTGAATCCTCAACCTGCCCAAAGACCGGAGGGGATCCCACCCCCCCCTCCCGCATCGGTGGGAGGCCAGGGAAGCAGCCCAGAGCGACTGGGGCCAGACCCTCGGTCTGAGCCCTGAGATCCAGGGGCGAAGGACTCCGGAAGCAATTGGCCGCCCCCAGCAGGTGCCCCCACTCATACCCTCCTTCTCTTCCGGGGCTGCCTCGGGACCCCCGTTCTCCCAGGGTGCCGCACCCTCAGGGCCCCCTCTTCCTCCCCTTGCAGCTCATCCAGTTCCTGATCTCCTTGGTGCAGTCCAATCGTATCCTTGGGGTGAAGAGGAAGATGTAAGTGGCCCCCCAGGGGCACAGTTGAAGGGCAGCCGGGGGGGGCGGGGGAGCTCTGGGTCTGGCCGGAGGGTGGCCTCACTGGCCCCTCGCTTTCTCTCCCTTCCAGCCCCCTGATGTTGAACGACGGCAGTTCCCCCCACAGCATGCCCAAATACAGCCGGCAGTACTCCTTGGAGCACCTCCACAGCCCCTCCCCCTACTCGGTAAGTACGGAGGGAGGGGCGGGCGGTTGGCTTCCCTTGTTCTCAGGCCGTCTCTCTCGGACCTCAGCCCACCTCCTCCTCCTCCTNGGGGGGGGGGCATGTTCCAAAGGGACCCCTCCTCTGAGCACCAAAAATGACCGCTGCAGGAAGAACAGTGGGAGGAAGGAGGAGGGGGAGCTCCTGTGCTTCCCCCCCGGATCAGGTGGCCTCTTGCTTGGGTGCCTCTGTGAGGGAGGGGCCTCTCACCCCTGGGGGGCTCTTTTGCAGATCCAGGAGCTCCTCTCCTCCCAAGAGCAGCCGAAGGCAGCCGAGGGAGAAGACGCCACGGCAGACACAGGTGGGCACCGGGATCTGCATGCGGGGTCAGCCCAGAGGGGCCAGCTGGAGCAGGGGGCGCACTGCCCGGGGAGACCCCAGGGGGCCCCAGAGGGGGCAGGCAGGCAGGTCTTCCCCATGGCTGGCTCAGGGATTCTGGGAGTCCACGGTGAAGTTGGCATAGTTGCCCCCCCCCCAAACATCCAAGGGCTTCTGGGAGTCTTGGGGGTGTCTGTCCCCCCCCCCCCGATCTGTGACCCCCCCCTTGTTTTCTCTGCCCTGCCAGGCAAACAGTTGGTCCATTACACGGCCCAGCCCTTGTTCCTGATGGACTCCAACACGGTGGACGTGGGCAGCGCAGAGGTGCCCATTTTCTTTGAGCTGGGCGAAGGAGACGGCTTCCCAGAGGGGGAGGACTGCCTGGAGGACCCCGGACTCCCCCTGCTCTCTGGGACGGAGCCCCCCAAGGACCCCGCGGTCACCTAAGGCCCAGCTCAGCCGGGAAGGCCTGCCTGCCGTGGGGCCGAGCTGCTTCGGGACAAGAGGGGCGCTGCGTGGGGGCCTCCCGCGGGGCTGTTGTGGGCCCAGGGCAGGAAACGGGGCTCGGAGGGACGTGGCCGTGGCGGCCGGAGGACGTTCGCCTCGCCTGCGTGACCGTCGCTCTCCGGGCCTTGAAGGCAAAGCCGCCTGTCCAAGAGACTCCGCAGCTCCTCCAGGCAGCCGGCCGAAGGATGTTGGGGGGCCCTGGGGACCCCCGCGAGAAGGTTCCCCCGTCCCCCACCTTTCCCCAGTGGGGTTTATTTTATTTCCCTTGGCTTAGCAGTGAAGGGTTTGTACATTTACATTTTGATTGTTACTAGAAAAAATTGTATTTTGAATTTTTACATCAGAGAAGACGCCAGCCGCCCCCCCCCCTTCCTCTCTCCCCCCTCACCATATAAATACCTCTATATATATATATACATGCTCAAATATATCTATATCTCTACGGAACGGCCCGTCCCCAGGCCCACTTTTCTTGCCTCGGACGACGGCTCCGCCTCCTCCTGCTGCTGGGGGGGTTGGCAAGCNCAGCAGCAGCAGCAGCAGCAGCAGCAGCTCCGTGGCTGGTCAGCCCCCCGTCCGCTCTTCCCTCCCTCCCGGTGGCCCCTCCGTGGGTCTCCATCGACTCTTCTTCTTGTATCTTTCAGTGTGGGCCGAGCTCCGCAGATGTCTGAGGTCACCTGCCTTTTCCCCAGCCCTTCCTCCTCCTCCTCCTCCTCCTCTCTGCACTGCAGACCACAGCAAGGGTCAGCATTTCCTCAGCCGTGGCTGCCCCCTCAGGAGCGGGGGGGGGGGAGATGGGGCAGGGAGCGGAGTGGGGGAAGCCATGGGGAGGGGGCCTCGGAGCCGGCAGAGCTTCATCCAGCCCCTTGCTCACCCCTCTGAGGGCAGCCCCTGGAGTTACAGCCAGGCCATCCCCCCTTTGGCCGCCGTTGGGAGGGCCGAGGGGGCCCGGCTGCTGGTCAGAGCAGAGTCGAGCCATTCCTGGCCTTCGGGGAGTCGCCAACCGGCTGGCGATGAGACCCTTGAGCCCAAGGAAGGGGGTCCGACGTCTCCCAAGCCTGAAGGCTCTCCAGATTGGGGAGGGGGTTTCCCCGCTGGCGGTAGAGTCAAGGAGATGGAGAGGCGGAGAGGAGGGAGCGTCCAGGCCCATCCTGTGCGGTGGCCCTGCTGAAGCTGGCTGGCCGAGAAGGGCCCCCGGGGGGATTAGGCAGCTCTTTAGGGGTCCAGCTGGCCTCTCTGTCTCCTGGGGGCTCTTCTTCGCCCCAGGCATCGTCTATTCGCACACAGACGCCCCCCCCCAGCAGAGGAGTCCAGGGGCATCCTCCCTGGCCCTCCCAGCCTTCCCCCCCCCCTTGCGCCTCCTTGGGGCTCTGCTGGCCCTCGGGAGGGGCTGCCACTGCGGGGCGGCTGTGCTGAGTGCCCTCCTGCACAGGGACTCAGGGACCCCGAGGCGGCACTCGTGAGACGTGCGGTTGGGTCCCCCACGCACAACCCCCACGGGGGCGGCTGGTGGCAGGAGGAGCCGGAGGGCAGCTTCCACAGGGGAGCCGGATCCCGGAGCAGGAAGAAGAGGCTGGCGGCAGAGTCCGTGGAGCCCCCCGCCTGCCCCCCCACCCGCCCCACCAGCTGCCCCTTTGCCTCCCCAGGAACGAGCTGAATGAGCACTTGGAGACCATCGACTCCAGCCTGGACCACCTGCAGAACATGCTGACCACCCACAGCTTCAGCGTGGACACCAGCGCCTTGCTGGACGTAAGCCCTCCCCCGGGAGCCTCGGGCGGCAGCGGGTGGGCTTCGGTGGACCCTCCCCACTAACCCCTCCCCTTGGCTGCCCTTCCCCTCCTCTCCCCACAGCTCTTCAGCCCTTCCATGGGGGTGACGGACATGAATCTGCCAGATCTGGACAGCAGCCTGGCCAGTGTGAGTCTGCCTTTGCAGAGACCCCCCCACCCCCTCCCTCCCTCCCTCCCTCCCTCCCT